TCCAGATAGACAAGTGTCGGACCCGCTTCTCACCTTTTCAATTGTCGGTAAGCCGCAGCCAAGGGTTAAAGTTGGCGAGCTAATAATGGAGGTCCCGGATACTCTACATGGATTCCAAGAGGAGTGGTTATGGGTTGGGGGAGACTGGCAGTGCCCCGACTTCGCTAATGATCTTCTTGCCGATGGGATAAGCATCCCAATGGCCACTAAATCTGGTTATTGTAAGTTGTTTTTCATTTTCTTCACTTCGGTTATTAATATTTTGTTTTTTGTTGTCGCTAACAGGTGGACTTTTGTGACCTTGTAGCAAAACCGACCGGGAAGAAAGAACCGAAGTTTGAAGGTCTACTATACGATCGAGTAGACAAGTTGTTTGAAGTGTCCGCCAACAAACGCCGATATCAACGACTTGTAAAGGACTCCCGCTTAGAGTTGGCTGGATTGTCCCCCGGAGTACTTAATTCTTCATTTTTACCAGGTAATCTTCTCCACTTGTTTCGTTCATCTTATATCATTACTCGTGTTTAACGATATCGTCCTAACTTTAAGCTTACTGCAACAGTCTATTACCCATTGCTGGGATACTTCGGTTTCGGAGATCCCACAGAGGCTGAGGAGCATCGGAGACGTAATCCGAATTGGGATTTGAAAAACAAAGTCGGAAAAAACAAGAATCTTCGATCAACCGAGATGGCCGGACGTCTGAACCTTCTCAAGGCATGGAAGAAAAATCCCAACCGATCTCAGGGTGCTGTTGGTGAACCGTCATCAACTAGGGCGGAACCGACACCGGCTATTGTGAGCGAACCAGCAGTTGCCGACGTCCCGCCACTGGAAGTGGAACCACTACGGCAAATAATGACGCCGGTTGGTGAGTCCGTGGTTGAGGCGGAGATTTCTCAAGAAGGACATGAGGTGCCCGACGAGCCGGTAGTTCATCGCCGTAAGAGGTCCAGCGTATCTCACGTGGCTGAGAGAATGAAGAAGAGACAAGACACCGGTGCTGGCAAGGATAAAGAAGAGGAACCCGAGATTGTTTTGAGGGATTCCTTTCTCAAGATAAATGAGAAGAAGGCGGCGGAGCTGACGCTGCCAGAAGGTGTATTTGACCCCTGGTTTCCGATGTTTCAAACGGTCGTGGAGCCGAAAATTACGAACAATCAGCGGTTCCCCGATGAAGCAGTTAAAGCGGCAAGGGTTCCATTGATGTCGTGGGACCCGAAGACTCACGCGGGAATCGCATCATTGCCGGATGACCAGAAGTTCAGCTATGCCCGTGGCTGTTTGGGTCGAGCTCTGGTCAGTTTCATAGCAGCCGAAGACAGTTACCGGAGCAGAGCTCACGAACTTGACGAAAAACAACATGAGCTGAGTTTAAAAGAAGGCGCCATAGCTTCTCTAGAGGATGAGAAGTCTCGCCATGAGGCGGCCATGTCAAGGAAGGATGCCGAACTGCAGGCGGCATTGACCGAGGTGAACACCCTTAAAACCGAGAAGGAAAACTTACTGCTGGCCCATGATCTTACGTCGGTTGAGTTGGCCAAAGTTACGGAGGTGGCCAGAGAAAGGGACGAACAGCTCACAAGATTAAGGGTTGAGCTTCAGGCCGTACGTAAGGATCGGTCCGATAAGGACGCTGAGCTGATTCGAAGCCGCGAAGCTCATGAAGTGGCGATGAACAAGCTCCGACAAGAAATGACCGCCGCCGCCGAGCTCAAATTCCAGGAGGGTATTGAAGTCGGCAAGAAATCATTAGTCGAGCCCGACGACGCAGTTGATGCCGGGGCGGCAACAGAATGGGAGCTGGAGCTGAACGCCGCCTTAGCTTTACAATGGGTGATAGACAGGGTTGACAGTGGCGTGTATACCATGGACGAGCTGCGCATTTATTTGCTTCATAAGATGGAGAAATATGGCTTCAATCCGGAGATGAAGAACGCCCATATCCCGGCTGACCAGGATGAGAGGGACTTTGCCGACCGACT